AGGCCATCCCATTTGTGGTATATTCTTGTCAGAGCAGCACTAGGTAACCGGAACAAAGGTGTAAATAACTGCTAGTTCTAATACCTTTCATGAAGCGTATACTTTTTAAGGGAGAATATTTGTTTACACAAATGAATTAATACTTGTAAATCAGCATAATTCCAGTATGTGTAATAAAATGAAAAATCAACAAGGTGCAAGTTAATCCTTCTAGGTATAAAAGAAATAGATCCTACCTCCCTGAGAGTCTAGCCCTATTTTCTTTTAAATTATTCCTTCTTTTCCTCTTCTATTTTCTAAAGCATAGATTTTGAAAAGTACTAACGTTTTCGCTCTCTTTTTTTGTCTTTTGTTTTGTTTTGTTTTTGCTGTTCATGATGATGCTCAGGTTAGTGCTGGGGATTTTCTATGAGATTCTTTGGGGAATAAGGTATAAATTGATTTTACGAGCCCCATATCTCCACTCACTCTCTTGTTCATTATTTATCATCTGCCTCCTGGAATGTGCCAGAGCCTAAACTATTAAACAAGGTGACTAGCACAGGCTCTACCTTCAAGGAGCTGACACACCAGTGGGGAAGACAAACATGTCAGCACACAATTTTAGAGTCAAAAATTGTGTCAAAAATTGTGCCAAAGGGGGTGAGAAAAGGGAGTGCCTGTTGCCAAGAAAAACCAGGCATACTTCACAGGGGCTGTGACATTTGGAGTGGTTAATGCCTATTGGAGGATACTAATATCTCCATGAATACAAGAAGAGATTTAAATTATATGAGGCTGAGTACAAAATGAGAAGATAAAGAGGACACAGAACCAAAAATTGGCTTGGGAAATTAACCTTTCTTATTCAGAGGCAGCAAAGAGGCCACTGAAGAACCCCTTCTTTCCATGTGTTATCTCCTAAAAGTTGGCTACGGGAGTCTCATCTATGCATCTTTACATCAAGATGGACACTACCCTGAGTATAGGTATCCAGTACTCCAGAGGCTAAACACAACCTCCCTGGGCAGCCAATAGAGTCTTATCCTGTTCCTTCTCTTCCCTAAGACATGTTACTACAAGGGGAATGCACAGTCATGTTCATCTAGAAACCTGATCCTGAGGTACCAATAGGATAGTCATGTCCAGCACCACTGCCCTGCCGGGATGTCTCCACCTGTACCCAATGCTGACTCACCTCAGAGCATGCCTTGCTACAGCTCAGACTTTACCCCACAGCACCTTCAGCCTCCTTCCCAGGACTTCCTGACGAACTCCTTTCTAGGGCAGAATGTTGATTTCCTAAGTCATAAATAATAACTTACTTTTGTCTATGTAAAATACTAGAGCAGATATTTGCAGAAGTGTTTGTGGAGCTCATTCTGGAGCATTTGATGCTTCCTAAAATCCTAAAGAACTGCTGCTATCTTGAGCCCTCACTAAGGACATTTTTTGATTAATAATTCTGACTTAATCTATTCTTGTTACACAAATGGTTAACCTCAAAGTTAACTCTAGAAATGGCTGGGAGGCATGAATATAGGGGATTCAGACCCTTTTGCTAGACTGAGTTGGAAGGTGTGGTAGTTAAGGTTGTGTGTCAGCTTGGCTGGGCCTGGTTTTTGAGCAGCTGGGCAGCTGGTGGTAGTTATTCCCCATTATAAGACTGGCAATCAATTCCATGATGGAATCTGCCGTGAGCAGCTGAGTCACTGCTGTAGGGATGTGTCTGCTTCCCATGTATAAGGAGAAGCTTTGGGAATGGTCTTCAGTTTTTTTGGCATGCCTGAACCTACATGTAGCCAAGTTTTCATTTAGCAGCTGCCATGTTTCCTGCTGATCTTGGTACTACTCTCTCTGGACTTGAACTAGTAGTCTGCCATGTTGTTTGGTAACATTGGGACTATGACATTTTATTTGTCAACCTTGGGCCTATTAGCCTCAGCAGCCAGAAGCTGCTTGAATAAAGAGACACCTCAAGTTCTAGTGAGCCGGAAGCAAGAGGCAGAGCTGATGCCTAAGGTCAAGGGGCTTTCACCCAGCCCCTAGAGCTTGTCACTTTGAACTTAGACTTCTAGCCTCCAAAACTGTGAGACAATAAAACCCTGTTTGTTAAAGCCATCCATTTGTGGTATTTACTATTAAAGCAGCAGGAAGTAACCAAAACAGAGGGTAAAGAATAAGTGTTACTGCTCATAGAGCCCAGGAAAACCATGATAGACTGCTACTCCCCAAAGTCTTGAGCCTTCATGCTACCGCCCTTAAATTAGTTCCCACAATGACCAATTTCTCAGTAACATAAAGGCAGCTATTCTGACCAAGCAGCCATGCAAGGGAGGAAGCTAATGATTTTTAGGCCTAAGTAAAGATCATGAGATGAAAGAAGTGGTTAAAAGAATAAGATGTCACACTTCTAAAGTTAAAGACAAAATTAATTAGCCTTGCTTACCTCAGGGAAAACGCAAGTCTTCTTGCTGAATAACTAATTCAGTAGCAATTTCTGAGGTTTAGATTATGTATTTTAATAAACTTGAAAGGTAGAATTTACTTGCAGGAAAATGCAAAGATCTGGATGGGTTTATTTACGTAGGTCCCCACGTCCATCTTTCTTGAGGTCATTTATTTATTACTCCTCAAAAGCAGTGTTTTCTAAAAATTCAGTGTACAGTCTTGGACTTTATCAGTTCACAAATTTACTTCAGAAAGTATGAAGTAATTTTTTTTTCTCAAGACTGAGTGAACTAGATTTATGATTGAGAAATAAGGTTTGTTTCTTTATAACTAGAAGTTAAGTTTTGTTTAATCTTTTTATTTCTTCCAGGTGCATTTGGTATAGTATCTGGGCCTAACTCAAGCCAGGAGATCAAAATGATTCTCAACACTTCTACCGAAGATGGTATTAAAAGAATCCAAGATGATTGTCCCAAGGCTGGAAGACACAATTACATATTCATCATGATTCCTACTTTATACAGCATCATCTTTGTGGTGGGAATATTTGGGAACAGTTTGGTGGTGATTGTCATTTACTTTTACATGAAACTGAAGACTGTGGCCAGCGTTTTCCTGTTGAATTTAGCGCTGGCTGACTTATGCTTCTTACTGACTTTGCCACTGTGGGCTGTTTACACTGCAATGGAATACCGCTGGCCCTTTGGCAATTACCTGTGTAAAATTGCTTCAGCCAGTGTCAGTTTCAACCTCTATGCTAGCGTGTTTCTACTCACATGTCTAAGCATTGATCGCTACCTGGCCATCGTTCACCCAATGAAGTCCCGCCTTCGGCGCACAATGCTTGTAGCCAAAGTCACTTGCATCATTATTTGGCTGCTGGCTGGCTTGGCCAGTTTGCCATCGATAATCCACCGAAATGTATATTTCATTGAGAACACAAATATCACCGTTTGTGCTTTCCATTACGAATCCCAAAATTCAACCCTCCCCATAGGGTTGGGCCTAACCAAGAATATACTGGGTTTCTTGTTTCCTTTTCTGATCATTCTCACAAGTTACACTCTTATTTGGAAAACCCTAAAGAAGGCTTATGAAATTCAGAAGAACAAACCAAGAAATGATGATATCTTCAAGATAATTATGGCAATTGTGCTTTTCTTTTTCTTTTCCTGGGTACCCCACCAAATATTTACTTTTCTGGATGTGCTGATTCAGCTGGGCATCATACATGACTGTCATATCGCAGATATCATTGACACTGCCATGCCCATCACCATTTGCATAGCTTATTTTAACAATTGCCTAAACCCTTTTTTTTATGGCTTTCTGGGAAAAAAATTTAAAAAATATATTCTCCAGCTTCTGAAATACATTCCCCCAAAGGCCAAATCCTACCCAAGCCTATCCACAAAAATGAGCACACTCTCCTACCGCCCCTCAGATAATGTAAGCTCATCCACCAAGAAGCCTGCCCCTTGTTTTGAGATTGAGTGACATGCCTGTCTGTGAAGGAAACTTGTGAAAGAAACAGAAAGAAAAACATTCCTCCAGAGCACTTCACTACCAAATAAGCATTAAGTCCTTTCAGAAGTTAAGGAGAAAATGGATTTCATGGATAGAATTGATTTCTCTAAAGCTCAGAACAAACACTTTTCCTTGTGCAGGAAAACAAAGCAAACCCACATTTTGCATTGTTTTGCACTAGATAACGGAGCCCTGGTGTCGCAGCAGTTACAGCACTCAACTGATAACTGAAAGGTTGGTGGTTTGAACCCACCAGCCGTTCTGCAGGAGAAAGATGTGGCAGTCCACTTCAATAAAGATTTACAGCCTTGGAAACTCTCTGGGGCAGTTCTACTCTGTCCCATAGGCTCCCTATGAATTGATTCAATGACTGTGGTTTGGTTTGGGTTTTGTATTAGATAGATAATGGTCACTCAAAGGAAGATGTCAGCAGCTGCATGAATGTATCAATTGGGAGAACTTTTCTAGCAGAAATGCATCTCCCAGTCTACACTTACTCTCTCTTTTTATTTCCATATTTACAATATGTTAAACATTTAAAGGAACAATGGGAGATGAGAGCTCTGGATGACACTGCACAATTTCTAAAGGGCAATAGAAACGTTTTGTGCCTGTTTTAGCTACATAGCAACTGTGGTCCACTTGTACCTGCTACTGCACATTTTGTACAAAGACATACTAAGCAGTAGTTGCCAAGTGTCAAAACCTTTTGTGAAACTCCACTAGTGTCTTAGAGATCCACTCTGCCAAAGCAATGCCAGTTAAATGGCTTATTGGTGTCATGGTATTACTGATGACACATATAAAAGTGAAACTACTTGTAAAGGTGTTACTCTGGTCCTAGGTATTAAGTGTCTTCCTAGTCATATTAGTTTTATTTCATATCTGAGAAAATATATTTTGTGGTAAAAAGATTATATATCATCAACTATGCCTTACTGTCTTAAAAAGTATATATTCTCTATATGTGTAGGTGTGTGTGTATCTATATCTCTAAATTGTTACTTAATTAAAACCCAGCAAACTCATATTTCCTTAAAATAAATAATTTGATTATAATAATTTGATTGCAGTTTTATTTGATCTTCATTGTTTAAAACATGCTGTTATTTTTAAAAATAAGACAACTGTGAATAAGTGTGAACATTTTTGTTTAAATTTTGATATAACTAATAGTTTAGTAATACTGGTTATACATATTATATCTTTCCACCGAAAAACAAAAAAGAACAAAAGAAACATTTTGTTCCACTGGGCAATGTGGAATGAGCACATCATTTTGAACTTTCCAAGTTTTTCATGTATCAAAAATAAAAATTACTCATTCCTTATAATACCAAAATAAGAAATTTCTTTGCACATAGGCCCAGTTTTAAATAATAGGATTTTTTTCTGATTACATAATGATCACTACAGAAATTTAGAAACCATAGAAAAATATAAAAAAATAAAATTTATGTATAATTCCCCCCACTAAAAAATGATTAATTTAACATGAGTACATTTTCTTCGAGTTTTGTTTGTATTCATTATACACACACATACATAAATACATTATGATACTGTAGTCATAATGTGTATAGGGCTATAGATACATTTTCACTTAATGTCACACCATAGCAGTTTCCTACACCATTAAACATTTTTTCTAAAACATTTTAATAATTGCACAATAATACAAAATACAGACACACCCTGATATAGTCATTGAGTCCCATATTTTGGAAACTTTGGTTCTGTTCCAATTTTTTGGCATCCTAAATTACACTGTGAGGAACATCCAAGTGTGTGAATGTAATAAATTACTCACAATAAATTCCCAAAACTAGTACAACCAAATCTACATGTATAAAAATTTTTAATATTCATATTAAATATTTTTAATATTCATATTTTCCAAAAACTTAAACAATGTAATTACCACAAACTATATATGTCCTAAGGAGGCAAGGAGGCCACATCTTCTGACCTCCTCTAACCCCACAAGAGGAAGACAGAATCACCATCAGTAGCCCAAGGCCTCTCCCTGTGAGGCCAGACATGCTGCCTCTCTCCAGCCCTTTCACTAACCCTGAAACCAACCATTCTTCCCACAGCACCCACCACCTCTCTGCTGGATTTGATAATTCACTTCAGTGGCCACACAGAGCTCACAGATTATGGGGTTTATTAGGGAAGCAACAGGCTACAATTCAAGTTCAGAAATGCACTCAGTTTCTCGCAGCCCTCCATCTCCCTCAGCAGCCAGCAGTCTCAGTAGCACATCGCTCTCTCAGTAGTGTGTGTCTCTTGCATCTCTCTTTCAACAGCATGTGTCTCTCACATCTCTCAGGAGCGTGGGTCTCCCAGCATCACATCTTTCTCAGCCAGCAGTCAGAGACACTCCTTCTGCCTCTAGCAGGGTTCCTTCTTAGCCTGGCAGAGTGGCCAAACTAACCAATCCCAACATCAGAATTCTCTACACCTGTGAGAGAGATAACTTCCCAGAGATTTCTTCATGCCACTCACAACAGAAATACCCCAGGTGGATAACTTTAACAAACAGGAGCTACTCAGTTGCTCATGGCAAATTCCACCATGGAGTTTACAAAGACTATGGCTAGAAAAGTCATACCAGGTAATTTACTACACCGCAATAGGGATACATTTCTCTACAGCCAGAGCAGAATGTAATATTTATTAAAGTTCTGAGACAGTATTTCTATGGAAGTAGATTGCCCACTCTCCCTTCCAAGGAGTAGCTGGTGGGTTTGAACCATCAGCCTTCTGGTTAGCAGTCAAATGGCTTAGGCACTACACCACCAGAGCTCCCTAAATAGACAAGTGCAATTTAATATAAGGATACAGTTAATTCATTGAACCTAAGGGCAGGGATTCACCTGTACCTGAAAAAATGATGCAGTGTTTCTTCTCCCCTCACCAGTTGCCTCGTTCTCTTTCCAAATAAATGCCTTTGCTCCTCCTGGAATCCACACAAGGCAGACTGAAGTGTTCAGTCTGGCCTTATAAACTGTAGCTGAAGGATTAGAGAACATAAAATAGCTGAGGGAAGCCCCCTGCTAGAGATGAGGGTTCTTTTGGGACTAGCAGACTTTCAATAAAGCAGCCTATTACATTCACATTCCTGACCATAAGTGTATTTTGTAAATAAATGTGGCTATATATGCTTCAAGGAGCTCTGGTAGTATAGTGCCTAAGGCACTTGACTGCTACCCAGAAAGCTGGCAGTTCAAACCCACCTTCCTCAGAAGGAAGGTTGGGCAATCTACTTCTGTAGTGATACCACCTCGGAAACCCAAGGAGAGGTCTCTGTGAGTTGAATCCAACTCGATGGCACATAACAACAAACAACATATATGCTTCATATTATTTTTCTTTTATATTTAATTATTAATTCCATTAATTCATTGCCAATCATCACTAATTCCAAAAGTCCTTATTATTTTCATTAAAAAAAATCATCTCTAAAATATAAATTCTCTCTCATCCCAAATTACAGTGCATATTTATCCTATTTGAAATTCCTCCTTGCCAGTTTTATAGCAGCTTATATTTGTATCCAATGGTCATTTAAATCTATTTATTCAGCACATTAAACTTGTTGAACCATTTGATAGTTATAGTTGATAGAGATTTCTGCTAGATAATTGTACTTAGATACCTCATTTATTTATTAACTGATATAAATTAATTCTTTACACGTCTCATTTTCTTTTTAATTCCATCAAATTATATTGTGATTTTCTCATCCCATTTTGTAAAATATGTATTGATAATTCTGATGATTAATCTTGGTTTTTTAATGAGACTAACTTAACTTTGAAATTGAAACTGTATTACCAGAATGTTAGGAATGAAATACAATGATTTACTTTTCAGAAATGAATTTAGAGGTTAGGTGATTCCTTATTTTGGAATATTTACTTTTAAATTATGCAGAAAGGAAAATTTACCATAATAGTCTAGAATTCAAGGGCAATAGGTACATATATTCCAATCCTTGTTTCCCTAAGAAAGGTTTATCTTTTCAGACAATCATTCATTAATTCATGGATTCAAAACATTTTATATTTTTTGCCTCCTCTGCTGTATAACATATATCTTAGAACACACAGTAAAAGTTTCAGCTAGGGTGGGCAATAATAGAAACAAATGAAAATTAGCTGGACTGCCAAGCCATGGAAATATTCGTAGAAGCTTGAGACTACAAATTTTCTGTTTAGTAACTTTGTGTACTGATGCAGTTTTTTCCCACAATATTCACCAACCTAGGGAGCCAGAGAAGAGTAAATAGATTCCCACAGGTCACAAAAGTGGTGACTGAAGAAAATGATGTCCAGAGAAATTCAGCCATTTGTGTGAAGTAAATGGTGATATGCCTTAGGACAGAGAAGAGAGTAAGTTAGGAGCACATGAGATACAGAAATAGGCTGAGGAGTGGAGAGCTGGAGGCAGCCCCACATTGCCTAAAAGGCCAGACTACAAAACTCCCAGGAGAACTGTGTACAGATGATTAGGTCTCCAAGGGCCATGTGGGAAACATTGGACCCAGAAAGAGTGAACTTAAATACTAGCTAATATTTAGCAAGCTATAAACAGGAGACAGACTGGTAAGAAACAAGACATAATTGTATGATTTTTTAGATTTCAGGCTGCATGATGGGAGAGAAAAGTTCCCCTGTAGGTCTATACTGGAGGCCTAATGAGATTGAAGAATACATGTAAAGGGAATAAAGAAATGGAAGAAGTGGAATTTTGGAGCTAATGATCAGAGAGTCAGATTTTCCAATTCAGGATTTTTATAGAATCAGTTAAAATGTAACTGTATATTTTATGTCTATAATTGCATCCATTCTTGTGTGATGTATTTGCGTAGTGGACACTTGTGGAACTATCTGCACAGTATCTCTTCTCCCTTTATCTGGGGAATTGTGTGCCTCATCCAAGGGCAGGCTCACCTCAGGATCAGTCATTTTTCTACCTAAGCCAATTCCCAAGCCACAGTTAATTAGCTCAGGCTTGACCTGCACCAATCACAGTCCTTCTTAAGGATTTTTCAAACAGGTACGGATCAAAAGTTGGTCCCTTCACAATGTTGGAATCTGTAAGCTTTAAGTTTGGGTCCTATTAGCAGCCCACTGTGGCACAGTGGTTAAAGCATTT